AAAATATTAATTATTCATATTTTTACTTTTAATTATTGTAATTTTTCACCATATTATAGACAAAAAAAAAATGAAAATTTTGAGTATATATAATCTCTAAAACTTTTGTGTAGACAGATCTATATCCATATAACTTAGGCATTGATAGATCTATATATATATGCCTTAAATAATTAGTTGATTGCTATAACTTGTAATTTCTTTTGATTTAATTGTACTATAATGTCTTATATAAGATTAGTACTATGTTGTTTATTATTATTATTATTATTAATAATTTTTAGGTAACGATTAGTATTATGCGTACTCATCGAAAGGATTGAAATTGAGATTTGTAAACGGTTTTTAGTTTCAAAAGTTTTAACTAAACAGGTTTTAGATTTCAACTTTTACCTTCCTTTTTTTTCTTTTCTGTTTTTTTTTTTAAAAAAAAATTTCAACAATAATAATAAGCATGCTCTTAATTTACAGAAAACTTATTGCGCTCAGTGGAAATCTTATCCGCTGCTGGAGGTGCTTTTTTAACTATCGTTTTCGAGAGGCTGTTCAACAAGTTAGAGTAATAAATCAATATTTCTTTCCAGTATCTCCATTTCTTTAGAATTCAAAAGGCAGAAGAAGCAAAGAGTAGTAATCAATATTTCTGGAAGATCAACATGTCTTCTCTAATTTCCAGTTAGAATATAACTGTTTCCATCTCTCCGCCACCTTTATTCCAGCGGATATCTCCACCCACTTCTAGCTTCCCAAATTAAAAAGGAAAGTTGAAAGTAGAGGTATGTTTCTTAATCCCTAGATAATTAGTTTTATAATTGAGTAATAATTTATTTACACATAAATTTTTCACATTATATTTTTATAAAATATCATTTATCTCTTTATTTTTAACATAAAATCTTAATTATTTATTTTTTATTTTTAATGGATGAGATTTATTATAATTTATTAAATAAAAAATTATTTTTAATAAATAAATTTCAATCATTAAAATTAAAAATGAATAATTAAAATTGTATGTAAATATGATATATAAGACTAATAAATCCCTACTCATTAATGTTATATATATATAT